ATATGATGCGAAGTAGAAGTTTATTTTTTCCCCTCTATATAGATAACCAGCTCCCCCACCATTGATCATTTCCAATGGAATTATGTATCTTTGTCCCAAATTAATAGATCATATATGTGGGTTTATTTCTCAACTCAATATATTGTTCCATTTATCCTCACGCCAGTACCATCCTGACTTGATTATGGTAGCTTCATAGTAGGCCCTTAAATCAGGTAGTGTAACCTTGGCTTGTTTGGCTCAGTGGTTAGAGTGTCGGCCCTCGGACTAAAGAGTTACAGATTCTGTTGGGGTCAAGGATATGTATCTTGGTTGCAGTTTGTTCCCTGACGCTGGTTGGCCTCATGAAGGAGGCAGCAAGTTGGTGTGTCTCACATGGGTGCCCCCCCCATCCGAAAATAAATGGAAACATATCTCCAGGTGAGGATTTTAAAAAAACAATAGGCAGCGTAAGTCTTCCAACTTTGTTCCTCTTTTTCATTTTTGCTCTCCTAGGTTCTTTTCCTTTCCATATAAAATTTAGAATCTGCTTGTCAATTTCCACAACAAAGTTGACTGGGATTTTCCCCATTATAGAGGTTGAAAAATGGCCCACCCAAATATATGTCATGTCCTGCTCGCTGAAACTATGCATGTTACCTTAACTGGAATAAAGGGTCTTTGCAGATGTATTTAAGTTAAGGATCTTGAGATGGGGGATCACCTCGAGTTATTCAGGCATGTCCTAAATCCAGTGATAAGTATCTTTATAAGGGAAACACACAGAGGGGAAAACAAACAACGTATACAGAGAAGGTGACGTAAAAATGGAGGCAAAGGTGGGAGTGATGTGTCCAGAAGCCAAAGAAGCCAAAGAGTTGCCCACCAGCCACCAAAAGCTGGGAGAGGAGAGGGAGGATTTTCCAACAGCAGCCACTAGAGGGAGTGAAGCCTCGCTGACACGGTGCTTTCCGACTCTTGGCCTCCAGGACTGTGACAGAATAACTTTCTTGTTTTAGCCACAAAGTTGTGGTAATTTACTGTAGCAACCATAGGAAACAAATACACCCATTATCAGTTGAGGAAGCTTCATTCTTTTCCTAGTTTTTTTTCTTTTTCTTTTCAAGAATGGGCATTGGATTTTGTCAGATGCCTTTTCTGCATCAATTGAAAAATATTTTCCCCACATAGTTTGTTAATGTGGTCATAATCTGCACAGACTCTCTGCTCACATGCTATTAATTTTAGCTCGATCCCATAGCCACTACCCTTAGTAACACCTGTTCGTGAAAGTGTTGGGTCCTGGATGTGTATCAAATTGTAAATACGTCGGCATGAATCCTCTTGCTTTATATTTGCTGCAGTCATTTTAGAAAGTCATTGCGGAGTCTGTAGGACAAAACTGTATCTCAAAATACTTAGAAGAGAGAAGCAGCAATCATGGAATTTATCCAGAGTGGTTCTCTATAGTAGGTATCACACTGGTAACCCTTGGGTTCAGTTTGGCCTTCCACAGAGTTTCCAAAATTAGGAAATTTTATATTGAAATACTAGATAGCATGCCTGCCTGGAAAATTATACAGATTTGGCAACACGTCCCTGAATGCCAACATGGCAGCAGTTGGCCTGAGCTGCACAGCGTCTGCTCCTTTCACAAAGCACCTTCTCTTCACTTCGCCACAGTTTCATCCCTCGTTGTTTTAATCGTCATAGAGATTTGAGTTTGCAACTTCGGTTCTAGAATCTTTGTGGGGGCACATCATGATGCCAGACATGTGCTACTGAGGGAAGGCTTAGGGAAAAGGAGGGCGGCACCGTTACCCAGTCACTGTATTTATGTGTGAGAACATGTGGACACAACCTAACGATGAAAAAGGATTTTGATATCATTCATTATCAACAAGACAGACAGACAGTCTGATCGACCGACCCACAGATAAAGGTGGTACAAAGCAGCACTAAAATATCAACAGTAGAACCCTAGACCCCTCGACAAAAAGAAACCAGCAAACAACAACCAAAGCCCTCACCTTCTGCAACCAAAGAAAAAAAGTTCAGCCTTGTAATGCAAAATGTGAGAAGCGATGGTAAAGCAAATATATCAAATATTCTGTTGAGGCCCTGACGGGAAGATCAGTTGGTTAGGGCATTGCTCAACACTCCAAGGTTCTGGGTTCGATCCCCAGTCAAAGCCACCTACAAGAATCAACCAATTAATGCATAAATAAGTAGAACAACAAATCAGTCTCTCTCTCTCTCTCTCTCTCTCTCTCTCTCTCTCTCTTTCTCTCTCTCAAATAAATTTAAAATAAAGATTCTGTTGGCAAAACATACAGAGGAAAAAGATGAGACCAAATTCTGAGAATTTTCACAAATGTCCTCCAACTGGGAAAGAAGTCAGTGGCATCCCTGTGAAACACAAGGAGCCTCTGCATACCACTCGATCTTGCCAGAAGCAGGAAAGGTTGCCACCTTCTAGGGCGCTGTACTGAACTGGACGGATGAACTGAAGCTCATAGGCATGGGATAATCCCTTGACTCGCTTGCAGGTAGGCTGGTGAGGACTTAACCTCAGAAGTGATGGCTGATTTTCCCCTAGTCAGCTCTTTATTGTCTCAATCTGAGTTCCACAATCCCCCATCACCTCTGCCCTTGTCCTAAACCCCTCAGGTCACAGAAAAAGTAGAAACAGCACTCAGCCCAAAAACTGAAGCTCAGGATAGGGAAAACAGATACATCTCAGGAGTTCACTTGCAGTATATTAGCTCAAATAACAAGGTCTTTTGTTCACTTTTAAGGATAAGCAAGATACAAGATATGATTTAGCTGTTATGCAAACATACTGTAACATGGGAGATAGAAATGTAAAGCAAGGAACGTAACATGCAAAAAACAGATGAAGAACCAAGTCTGGAAGAAAACATAATCAAGGAACAGAAATTTATATTCCTTGTATGTGTTTTACTATACAGAAAAAAAAAAATTAAGAATGGATTCCTCAAGCCAGGCCTGTGTGGCTCAGTGGACTGAGTGTTGTCCCATGGACTGAAAGGTCCCTGTTCCATTCGCCGTCAAGGCACATGCTGGGGTTCATCCCCAATAGGGGGCATGCAAGACAGAGCCCATTGATGTTTCTCTCTCACATCTCTCCTTTCCCCTCTCTCTCTCTCAAAAAAAAAATAACAAAATAAAAACATATGTTAAAAAAAGAATGGAATCCTCAGAATAGCTCAATGACAATATAAAATGACAATGTGATGAAAAAGGAAATTGTAGAGCTACGAAAATTGAGATTCTAAATAATGTGATTTTAAAATCCAATAAACTAGAAAAACCAATGAGCAGAATATTTTGAGAGAATCAGAGTGAGTGCAAATCAAAAGAAGATGAATGTTGAAAAAAAAATCAAGTATAAGGTTAAATGGTGTCTCAGAAGTAGAAAATCCAACCAATGAAAGATAAACATTAAGATATATGATATGAATTGGATACTATACTAAGAAGAGAAGCATGGAATCCATAAGTTGAAAGATGATACGATATACTAGAGAAAACACTGAAACATGGTCCACATAAGGATATAAAGTGTACTTTAATGATAAAGAATTTAAGGCCTTCAAGCAGAAAAATCAAATTACTTTGTAGGGAAAAAAAAATCACAGGATTCAGATCTCTCCCCAGAAATCTATGTAAAAAATCAGTGAAACAGTTGCCTTCCAGTTCTGTTATGTTTTGAAAGAAGGTGTCAATCCAAAATATTTACCCAACTCAGTTTTTATTTATGTATAGTGATTTAAATACACACACCCAACGTTAAGGTACTCTGTAGCCCTCCATAAGAAAACTACTTGAAAAAGAGAACAGTCCACCAAAAATAAAGAATTTAGGCATGGATACGTTATGACCAATCTTGAATTCATTTAACTGTAGATTTGAGACCGAACGTCTGGGAGGATAAAGTGGCAGAGTCCTGGTGAATGTTCACAGTGCCAGGAAGCCAAAAGCAACACAGCCCATGGAAACTGGGAGATGCGGTGAAGGTGGGTGGAAGTGGAGGGTGCTATTAACTTCGTATTTCAAAGCCGTGATACTGAAATATGTAGAGAATTCCTTTCCTTTCTGAATCTTTTTACTCGCTGTTTAAAGGGCCCTTAGGAATGTATATTTGGTAAAGAAGAAAGTAACTGCTCGAGATTTGCTGCAGTTTGTTTTTCTTAAATTCAAAAACATTGAAAAATTTAAATTTACTTAAAGCATACAAAGTATGCCACCCTAACTGTTGGATTATTTCCATCTAATCTTTCTGTGCCTTAGTAACTTCCCCGGTGAGACAGGGAACAGCACAGGTTGTGGTGAGCACTCCCGTTCACTTGGGAAGAACAGTGCCCGGCTCACAGTCAGGGTGCACATCCAGGCTGCCCTTCTTTGCACGCTGCACGAGCAGCAAGCCCGGCCTGCTGCAGCGCGCTGCTCACATCTGCCGCGTTTCTCAGCTACGGTTTGGCTCGGGGCGGGTCATCCTGGTGGTGACTTGGGGAACAGTCCTCGGTACTGCACGGGGCTCGGGCTGCTCGGGGCTACCTGCGCCAGCCCTGCACCTGGGCGACCTTGGCTTTGCCCACACGGATGACTCAATCGACCAGGCGTCCGGGCGCCTGTCCTCTTCCTCCGCCCAGGCCGCCGACCCCCCGGCTCCCCGGCGGGGCCTCCCTGGGCCACGTGACGCCCCCGCCGGGGGCCCCAGCCCTCCTCGCGGACGCGCCGTTCCGGCTCGGGCTCCGCCTGTGCGCGGCCTCCTCAGCGCGGCCATCCTCGCGGCTGCCGAGGGCGGCAAAGCCCACGGCATCTGCCATTTGTCATTCAGCCTGTTGGTACCGCCCCGAGCCTTGATTTAGACGCGGCCGGGGCGGATTCTGGCCTCATTCTCCCGCTGGACGGACAGACGAACGGACGGGGCGGCTCTCTCCCCAGCCCAGCGGACCGCGGGCCTTGGCGCGGGGCGCTTCCCCGGTCGCCGTCATGGCCGCGCAGGCGGCACGCCCGAGCCGCGCCTGAGTTCCAGGGGGCTCTCGACCCCGAAGGGTAGGTGTGGGCGCCGTGGCCGGGCGCCGTGGCCGTGGCCGCCACGGGCCGGGGTGGCGGGCGGCGCTGCGGAGCGCGGGCGGCGGTCGTGCCGCCGGGAGGGTGTGCCGCCGCGTACGTGCCGCTGGCTCCGCGGCACCGAGCGCCCAACTCCCCGGCCCCGGAGCCGGCCACGGGACAAAACCTGCTCCCGCCCGGCGCTTCTGATGCCACTTGGGAACACCGCGAACGCCGGGCAGGCGGTACATAGACTCGGTTTTTGAAACCTGGGGCTCTAAGCTTGCCCGAAGGCCAAAATTAAAGAATAAAAGAAATTTTAAAAGTCGGTTCAAAGTAGTAACGTGACGAAACGCCAAGTGTTTGCAGGTTTGCAAAGGCTATGGAAAATACGATTCGTCGTACGCTTTAATAACGCCGACCCTATCGGATAGACTCAAAAGTATTTTCAAATGCGGGGTCCTAAAATTTTGTTTAGATTAGGGTAACCGATCATGCAACTTTGGTTATTTAGTCTCCGCATCGGACTAGGGCGCTGGTGGGGATGTTGACTTCTTAATAAACGCTCTCCTGTAATTGTAACTTACTTTCTCCCAACAAATGCGTTACTTTAATGTTTTAGGAAACCAATAAAAATTAAAAATAGAAACACTCAGCTTAGGTCCTCCTTCTTCCAGGAATCCTTCCCCCACCCCTCCCTCCCCAGGCAGGATCCGAGAGGCCCCTCCTGGGAGCGTTCGGGGGCCTCTCTGAGGTCCAGGTCCCTAAAGTCGTCCCCACCCCAGTGTACTAACCCAGCGGTCTCGCTCCGAGCGCAGCGGATCCTCGGCACATGGTAAGTGATTAATACTGTTTAACGACCGAAGGAAACGGTAACACGGCCTTATGCTTCCCGGTTGGGGCTCTGAAATTATAGAGCGGTGAATTAGATAAGAATATTTGTTTAAAAGTTAAGGATCTAGAAAAGTTGACAACACGCGACGTCCCTGTTCCCCGCCCTGACGGTTCCCCGCGGGCATTTACCCTCCAGTCCAGAGCGATGTTTTTCAAAGTTTGGAGCCCATTGTGGTGGGTCGTGAAATCAGTTAAGTGGCTAATGATCGGGATGTGTAAAGCGCGAATTGACAGGGAATAGAAAAATATGGGAATGTATCTCAGGTCATAGGGTATTTACTTCATGAAACTTATTATTTTTTTCTTCTCAATTTCACACGCACACACACAGATGTGTGTCATGGTGTAAAACGTCATTCCTTAGTATGAGTCATGGTCAAAAAAGTTTGAAAGCCACTGCCCTAGATAAATTTTCATACATATACACAAACAGAGTGTCCAAGAAGGTTTACTGCGGTGTTATTGGTAATACCCCAAGAGCTGAAGCAACCTCATGTCCATCTGAAAGGAGAAAGGTAAATTATGCTGTAGTCATAAAATGAAACCCACACAGTACAGTGGTGAATGAAGTAGGTTTGTGTTTTAACACAAATGCATCTCATTGTTGAGCCAAAAAAGAAAAGGAAAGCAAGAAGAATACTGTATGATGTCATCTATGTGAAATTCAGAACCTGGTGAAATAAAGTTGTTGTTAAGGATGCATGCATAGGCATTAAAAGTGGTAGAGAAAGCAATACCATAAAAGTCAAGTTAGCGGTCATCTCCTGGGGGGCTGTGGAAGTGGACCGACACATTGAGGGTTTTGGGGATGCTGGAAGTGCTTCATCCCTGACCTGGGTAATGGTTTCATGAGTGTTTTTGCTTTATAACTCTTTGTTAAGTGACACATATGTCTGTGTATTAAATTATCCCCCAATAAATTAAAATATGGGCATCTCAAAATGAAGAAACCTGAAGCCAGGGCTCTAGTCTAAGTCTATTATTCATATTTTCCATCTGCTCTAAAAAAAAAGGAAAGGCGTGATCAGGGACAGGTACCTAGGGAGTTTAATATCAGTAATATTTCATAAATTTTATGCTAGATACATTAGTGTTCGTTTAATTTTTAGTGTTTTTGTATCCTAAATAACAATATTAAAAAAATATTTAGAATAAAATTAAAATCATTCACAGATAATAATATGAACATTTTGGTGTGTTTGCTTTATAAAATGCAATTTTGTTTATTTTTTTATAAAACTGAAATTAATTTTATAGTAATTAAACTAAAATAAAATCATTTTATGAAAAATTAAATATTGCAAAGCATATGAAAACATAACAGACCTTCATCAGAGATTTTAAAATGCTTACATGCTATCATATTTACTTCAAAATTTCAGTTCCTCAGTTATTCTGGGCCACTTTTCAAGTGCTCAATAGCCAAGTGTGACCAGTGGCTATTATATTTTATGGTACTATTTTATATTATACTATATTGTTTAACAGAACATTTCCGTCATTGCAGAAATTTCCACTGGAAAACATTGTTCAAGATACAAACCCTCTGTTGGTTATATAAACTGCAGACAATCTTTTCTTTGTGCTCTTGTGTCTTAAGATACTATATCTACTATTAAGGTAATAGGTTTTGAAATTTTTTCTAAAAATTTTGAAGTTTGTACCTTTTACATATTTAGATCTTTAATTTACCTAACATTTATACACACACACACACACACACATATATATGTATATATCAATGTATACTTTTCACGCTGTGCGATTAAGACTAATCTGTTTTCTTTTCCCGGCGTGGAGCAGCCCAGGACCAGTGGTCTGCAGTGCCACCTCTGTCATAAACATATTCCCAGACCTGCTTGGGCTCATTTCTGGACCCTTTACACTGGTCATTGATTTGTCTCTGCAAATTCTATAAACTTTTTGTTTACTATTGCTTTATATTTAGTATATTTTTCAATTCTAAGAATTAAATTTTTTTTATCATATTTTTTCTTTTTTGAGATTTTTTTAGAAGTATTTTTTACTTCCAAATGTGAAAGGTTTTGTGAGTTATCCTTTTGTGACTGGTTTCTAACTTGCATTGTAGTCAGCAAAAGAGAGCTCTATGTTACCGATTCTTTGAAATTTGAGAATTGCTTTATGGCCTCATGGTTACTTTTTCAACAGCTCCTTGAACGAACTATTGGGAAGACTATATATACATACCTACACATATCTATGTGTATATACACACACATTTATAATATACATATATATCCTAGATCAAGCATAAGAATTGTGGCGCTCAAATCTTTTTAACTTTACTAGTATTTTGGTTTTTTTGATCTATCAATTACTGAGATGAGTGTAATAAAAACATCACAATAAAATAATGCATTTTCTCAATTTCTTCTTGTAATTCTTTCACCTTTGCTTTGTGAAAGTTGAAAGTATATGCAAGTTTGGATTGGTCTCTCCTCTCTGTAAATTGGAGCTTTTGTCATTCTATGGATGCCTCTCCCAAATGCCTTTTACTTTAAACTCTGTTTTGTCTTATAACACTATAGTCACACCTTCCTCTTAGTTAGCATCAGTTTAGAATATCTCTTTCAAATAGGTAAAACCTGATTGTTTTTCTAATCCACACTGATAGTCTTTGTCCTTTAACTGGAGCTCTCAGCCCAATTAAGTTTAATATGATTACTGATATATTTAGGATTAAAGTTAGCATTCTGTTTTATGGTTGTTTTAATCCTGTTTTCTTTGTGTGTGTTTTTATCTTCCTTTGCCACCTTTGGGATTTTTTCTGATTCCATTTTTTTCCCTCTGAGCTAATTATATGTTTGATTTCTTTCCCTTAGTAGTTTCCTTTAAAAGTTTAATGAATAAACTTAACTTTAAAGTTTATTATTTCTATTCTTCTTCAAACAATTCAAGAAACCAAATTTGCTTTGACTCCAGTTAATTTCTTGGTGCACACGTTATTGTCATCCAGAGTTTTAGTTCCATCTTGATTTTTTTCTCCTACAAATTTGACTTTTTTTTTTTTTTCTTTTTTATGGATACTTTGCTTGTTATTTCTTCTTGTAGCTCAGATCCCTCCCCCCCCCCCCCCCCCGCCAAGTTTATATTTTAGAAGCTTGTTTATTAAGAGGCTGTTGATGGCAAACTTAATCTGAAAATGTCTTCATTTTGCTTTCATTCTTGAATAATGGTTTTGTTTGGTATATAATTTCAGGTTAACAGTTTCTTTCTCAGCCTTTTGGAAGTATCATTCCATTGACTTTGACTTCAATGTTATAGTTAGTTCAAATAACTGCTATTTGTTGGGAATCTATCTCTTTTTTTTTTTTTTTGCCTGATTTTAAGAATTGTTTTTTTCTTGTGTTCTACAGTTTCACGACGGAGTGTGTCCAGGTGTGGCCATTTCATTTATCCTGGATCGATTGTGTTTCCTGTGTCTAAGGTTAGTCTTTCATCAGTTCTAGAAAGTTGTATCCTTTATCTCTTTCAGTGTTGTTTTTCCTCTATTTTTTCTTTTCATTCCTTTAAAAACTCTGATTCAACTTCTGTTAGGCTTTTTCATTCTGTCCTCCATGTGTTTCATTTTAATCTAACTTTTATATATATCTTTGTCCATGTTGAATTCTAGATAATTTTAGATCTGTATTCTGATCTTTATCTAATTTTTGTTCTCTTTCCAAATTGAGCTATAATCTACATGCAATAAAAACAAAAATAAAGTTTATGGCTTAATGAAATTTATATACGTATGTACCCGTGTGATCACCACCTACATAAGGGTATAAAACATTTATATCCCTGCAAAAGTTTCCTCCTGTCCCTTCCTATCAATAGAACCATTCCTCTCTCCTAGTCAAGTATTCTCCTGACTTCTGTCACTGTGGATTATTTTCAGATATTCTTGAACTTCGTATAAATGGAATCATATAGTTTATTCTTTTTGTGTTATTGTCTTTTGTTCATAGGATATTTTTTAAATTCATCCATGTTGCAGGTATAAGTAGGTTTTTTGTTTTTTGCTTTATAACCAGGGATAGCGAACTATGGCCTGTGGGTCCAGTACAGTCCAGAACATATTTTATTAAAATGTTATTGGACACAGTCATGTCCATTCATCAGAGTTGAGTAGTTATAACAGAGACCATATGTCCCGTGAATCTTAAACTGTTTTCTATTGGAGCCTTTACAGAAAATGTTGTTTATATGGATATACCACCTTTCTCGTATTGATGAATATGAGTTTTCCATTTTGGGCCATTATAAATAAAATTACTACAGATGGTCATGATACTGCCATTGGTGGATATATACTTATATTTCTTGACTATATACCAAGGAGCTGAACTGGTGGTCTTTGGGTAAGTTGGTTGCATTTCCATGAATATTAATAATGTTAAACATCTTTTTATATCTTTATTGACCCTTCAGACTTCTTTTGTGAAGTGCCTGTTTAAATCTTTGCCCACTTTTTAAATTAGGTTTTCTTTTTGTTAATGATTTTTTAGTTCCTTATATATTCTGGATATGAAACCTTTATCATGTTTGCAAATGTTTTCTACCTGTCTGAAATTTGCCTAGTCTCTTAATTTGCCTTGGGGTGAGCAAATTTAATTTTATGAATAAATAAGTTCAATTTATCAGTATTTGGTGGTGGGGGGTGAGGTATTAGTGCTGTTTTGCACCCTGCCATCAACATTTTCTCCCACCCCTCATTTTTGCCCTCCCTTGAGGTCTTAAAGGCATTTGCCCATGGTTTCCTCTGGAAGCTTTATTGTTTTAGACCCATCGCTGGGTCTTTGATTTATCTCCAGTTGATTTCTGTGTATGGTGTGAGTTGGGGGGTCATTATTTATTTTCATATGGACATCTAGCTGCTCTACACATTTATTGAAAATACCTTTTTTTTTCCATCAAATTGCAGTGGAATCTTTGTGAAAATGAATGATCATATTTTGGATCCTCTTCTGTACTCTATTCTGTTCCACTTGAAGTGTTGATCAATTCTTCCATCAGTACCACACTTTAATTACTGTAATTTATAGTAAGACCTGACATACAGTGGTGTAAACCCCCAGTTTTATTCTTCTTAAGGATTATTTTAGCTATTTAAGTGTTTTACATGTCTATATAAATTTTAGAATGAACTTATTAATAATCTATTTTTAAAAAGTTTTCATCGCCCAGCCAGTCTGGCTCAGTGGATTGAGTGTCATCCTATGGACTGAGAGGTCCCAGTTCGATTTTCTGGTCAGGGCACATGCCCGGGTTTCAGGCTCGATCCCAAGTTGGGGGTGTGCAGGAGGCAGCGATCTATGTGTCTCTCTCACATCGATGTTTTTATCTCTATCTCTTCCTCTCTCTAAAAACAACAACAACAACAAAAGAAAAAAAAAACAATAAAACCATATTAAAAATAAAATAAAAGCCTAAGTAATGTTAAAAAAAAAGTCTGCATCAACTCTACAGAACAAATTTTGGAGAATGGACATCTTAACAAAATCTTCCAATTTATGAACATGGTATATCTCTCCATTGAATAAGTTTTTCAGTTATTTCTAGCATTTGTGTGTGTGTTTTTTTTAGTGTAAAGATCTTATGCATTATTAAATTTACTTCTTGGCATTTGACTTTTGGATGCTGTTGTAAATTCTATCTTTTTCTTAATTTTATTTTTCAACCATTTGCTAGTATATAGAAATACAATTGATTTTTGTATATTAAGCTTGTATTTTATGAACTTGCTAAATTCACTTTTCAGTTGTGGTAGCTTGTAGATTATTGGGGATTGTATAAATGCACAATCACATCATCTGCAAAAGAATTTAATTTGCCTTTCTAATTTCTATTCCTTTTTTCTTTTTCTTGCCTTATTGCACTGGCTGGGAACCCTGGAAGAATATTAATCAGAAGTTTTTAAAATGGATGTCCTTGCTTTTTTCTAAACTTAAGGGAAGATAAGTCAATATTTCACTAATCAGGATAATGTTTACAGTATTTTTTTGTAGATACCTTTTACCAGTTTGAAGAATTTTCTGTTCCTGGTTTATGGAGATTTGTTTTCAGTAAAGGGTATTAAATAAAAAACAACTTTTTATTAAATAAGTTTAGACTTATGGAAGAGTTGCAAAGATAATATAGAATGTTTCAATATACCATTCACCCACCTTCCTCTAATGTTAACATCTGACATAGCATGGTACATTTACCAACATTAAGAAATTAACATTGGCACAATACTGTTAACTGAAGGAAGACTTTATTCCAATTTCCCCACTTTTTCCATCAGTGTTCTTTTTCTGCCAGGTTCTAGTCCATATACCACACTGCATTTAGTTGTCATGTCTCCCTAGTCTTCTCCAATCTGTGACAGTTTTTAATTTTTACTTGTTTTTCATGACTTTGCCACTTTTGAAAGTACTGGCTTTTTGATTGCACAGTGTCCCCTAATTTGGGCTAGTCTGATGTTTTCTTACTATTAGACCGAGGTTGTGGACTCTAAAGGAAGAATGCCACCAAGGTGTTGTGTCCTTCTGTTGCATCCTATCTGGGGCAACATGATATATCCACATCAATATGTTAACCTTGATCACAGAGCTTAGGTGGTTTCTGCCAGATTTCTCCATTGTAACATTACAGCTTTTCACTTTTTGTCTGTTAGAAGCAAGTCCACACTTATGGGAAGGAGAGGGAAAAGTATCAAATGACTTGAGGATATATGTTAAAACTACCATGGTAATTAGTAAATATTTTGAGGGAGATATTTTGAGGGTTTGCAAATGCCCTGTTTCTCCTTTAAGTTTGCCCACTAATTTTAGCATTCAGCTGATCTTGCCTGCAGCAGTTATTATTGTGGTATTCTAATGGTGATTTTCCATTTCCTTCGTTCTTTCTACATTTATTAACTGGAATTCTGACTCTAGAGCCAGATTGCCTTGGTTCAATTCCTAGTTCTGCCTCTTCCTACTCTACAGTGTAATCTTGGACAGTTACTTAACTTCTCTATATTTCAACTTTCTCACAGAAAAATATAGATAAAAGTGTCTACCAAGAAGGTTGTCGAGATAATTAAATGAGTTCATACATCAAAAGGGCTAAGAATTGGGCTTAGTCCCTAGGATGTGCTTATTTTTTTCTTTCTGTATTTCTTAATGTGGTAGGTAATTTTAATTATTTTAATATATAATTATTAAATCATCTTGTACTCCTGGGTAAAACTTACATATATTTATATGATCTGGATTTAACTTACTGTTAATTTTTTAATATAATATTCATGAGTCATACAGTGGCTCTTCTTTTGCCATAGCAAAAGACATAATGAATGATAGATTCCTGAAAAAAAAAATTGCACAAGAGCTAAGCCACTGAGGTGGCAACATTCCCAACTTTCTAGAGCGATTTATATCTGAGTCTTTGGGTAGAGATAGAGATCAAGGTAGCTCTTGCAAATGAGTCTTTTTCAATATTGAGTTGAGCAAATTCAGAACTTGGCATGTATTATGAAAAATGGCCCTTCAGCAGGAAGGAAAAATGATCTTAGCTTTTCTACACGTTTCACATTGAACAATGTTTTATTGTAGAGATTTCAATATTAGGAATATTCTAGAAGATTCATTTGCCAGCTGTACGTATTGAGCACTTTCAGTGTGCCAGGCAATATGTTTTGCTGGTCTGGGATTCTTCTTTGCTCTTGAGCATATGGGCCATGTCAGGATCATTTCAAAAGTTGAAGGCAGGCCTACTTGAATCATTCAAGGAAACTCAGTGTCTGTTCATTTTTTAAAAGTGGGTAACATGGAACTCTAATGCCTTTTCTGTCTGTTTCTTTCAGTCCTCTGAGCATCTTGGACTAGGCCTTTATCATCCTATATTATTTCTCCCTGTATTGATGTTTTCCTTCCCTTTCTAGCATGGCTAATGATCACTAGGGTCAGTCCCCTGGGGAAAAAATCCTTCAGTGATATCCAGGACTTGAGAAAACAGATCCTTAACTTTTAGCCTGACAGTGGCCCTTCTCTGTCTCGTCCCAGCTTGCTTTACTAACCTCATTGTCTTACTCCTCAGAATTAGCCCAGTGGCACAGTTGGTCTTTACTCATCAGAATCTGAAGTCACTGTGCTGTGTTTGAGGCTGTGCTTTTATCATGTCATTTCGTGTGCCTTCAGTGGGCTTTCAAAATTTTTCCAGGCTCTGTTCAGAGGATACTCACTCCGCAATCCACCTATGATAGGAGCCCTATAATTTGTAATCTGTAGCCCTTGTTAAATTCTTACCTTTCATCACCAATCTTTATATCTAAATGTCATTTCCAGTTGGTCAGGTTCTTAGAGATAGGGTTCCAGTACTTACCATGATACTTTGCATACAAAGAGCTATTGCTAAATAGCTACCATTCTTAAGCACCTGCTATAATTGTACTACAATTTTGCAAAGTCAGTATTA